TCAAATAAATAAATAAAATCTTAAAAAAAAAAAAAAGAATACTACTATTTAAAAAAAAAAATCATCAGCAACTAACTTCCTATTCCTGATGGGAATCAAATCCAAACTTTTTAACCTGATGTATTGGTTGGGAAAACATTAACTATAACTATATAGTTATATATTATTTTAGTTATATATTATTTTATAGTATTTTATATAACTATAAAACATAAAGCCCAAAATTTTAGTGTTGTAACGAATAGAAATTGATTTATTGGTCAAGTGAAGTACAAAACGCATGCTCCTGATTATAGCAGGCAGTTCTCTGCCAAGTGGTGATTCAGGGAACTAGGTTCCTTCCAACCTGTGGCCCTATTCATCTTTAACATTTGGTCTTCAAGTCACTGTGCTTAAGGTCATATTCATCAAACCACAAAGAAAACAACATGAACGATCTCCCTTGGGAGGCTTCATAGGTCAAGCCTGGAAACAGAACATATTACTTAAAAGGAAACTGAAAAATGTGGTCCAGCTATGTGTCCAAGAAAAAGAAAGAGATTCTGATAAATACACAGGAGTCTCTGCCTCACTTGGCATTCAAGATTCTCCACACTCTGGCTTAAACTTACCTTTCAAACTTGATACCATTACACAGGTATGACTATTGGTCAGCTTTGCTGCACTAACAACCAAACCTAAAATCTCAGTGGCTTACAGCAACAAAGGTTTATTTCTGACTTATGTATATGCAGGCTGTGGGCAGGCTACAGCTCTGCTCCATGGGTCTTCCCATTTCAGGACCCAGGCAGAAGGAGCGTTTCTCATGTGGAATATACCCAGTCTAGTGGCAGAGAAGAACAAGAAAGTGGAAACTCACATGTGCAAACATGGCATCTGTTCACATCCCATCAGCCAAAATATGAAACATGATCAAGGTCAAAGTCAATGAAATGAGACATATATACTCCATCTGCAGGAGACACTTCAAGTCACATAGCAATGGGCAGGGAAGGAGAAAGTAAATAATTTCAAACAACAAGTCAATCTATTACAACTGCCATCTTCCTTCTAGGGTACATGATAGATACTACTAATTAATCCCAGCACTCTTTCCTCAGAATCCTTCTCAACACATTTCAGGCAGTCATTACTAATAATCTGAGTTTTTTTTTAAAGCTGAAATTTATATGCTGTTCTTATATGACCTCCTAGGCTCCAGTAAACATTATAAATTTCCACTTCTGAATCCTTGCTTCGGGCTGGAATAAGCTTTGCCTTCCCACACCTTGTTCTGCCAAACTATCCAAATCCAATTCATCCTTCAAATATCTGTATTTTATATTCATTCATTCATTTTTAAAAAATTTTTAAAGATTTTTTTATTTATTTGAGAGAGAGCACGCCGGGGGAGGGACAGAGGGGGAGGGAGAAGGAGAGAATCTCAAACAGACTCCCCACTTGCGGAGTTCAATGTGGGGCTCGATCTCAGGACCCTGAGTTCACGACCTGAGCAGAAACCAAGAGTCCCACGCTTAGCCAATTGGACCACCCAGGTGTCCCTTTATGTTCATTCTTTCAACAAAACTTATTGAATACCTAGCATAGTACCTCGCACATATATTTGTTGAATGAATGTTTCACATCACCTGTGCCTTGCACATAAATGCTCAGTGAACATTTGTCCCTTGATTAATTAATAGCACTGTTTCCTAGAACTATGGGAGTTAGTATCACATACCAGCAGTTTCTGTGGTGGGAGCCTAGTATACTGACTTCTTATGCTTGAATCCTGATTCTACCACTTACTAGTTAGATGATGCCAGGTAAGTCACTTTAATTGTGCCTCAATCTTCATCGTATGTAAATTGGGGATAATAATAGGACCTACTATATAAGCCTGTCATATTAAATGGAAAAATTTCTAGCATAAACACTTGTAAGAACCTAAAAAATGGAAAATGTTATTATTATTATTATTACTATTATTATTATTATTTTTAGCTCCAGCTGAGGCTGAATTTTCTTTCAAGCCTTTTTTCTGGGTGGAAGACAAAAACCCAGAACACATGGGACCTGGGTCGCTGAACAGGCCCCGCTCTTAACCCACCCCAGGACCTTGAGCCAGCTCCTCATCCAGCAGCTTAATCCCTAACTCATAAATCCTGACTAATGACACAGACATGTCACCTTAATGTTTGTGAAGCCCAGTGACTTATTGTTAAGTGCTTGGAGATCTTCAGATGAAAGGCACCCAAGGGCAGGCACCAGACACCCTATTCAGTCATAAAAGCAAAATACTACCAAAAAACTTGGAAAAGGCAGAGGCTCCATAATTTAGTAAGCAGAGAATTAAACCAGGCACCCAGGAAGAGCAAATCAATCCTAAGACTGTAATCCCTTAATACAGAGACAGGATTTATTTAACAACAAAGGTTTATTTCTGACTTATGTATGTGATGACGAGAACCATCTCATCATTTTGAATGCCTCAGACTACCTGGAGGGTCTTGGAGGGTCCAGGAAGGGGGAGGCAGGAGGATGCCCAAGTCTTTAACTTAAGTTGTGGGAGAAGTGTGAATCTTTCACCTCTCCTAAATAAAAACAGGAGCAATAACATGTATTGTTATCCTAATACATTTAAGCCAGTTAAAAGGCTTGGGCAAACCAGCCCCTCTAAGTGGCTTGTTTGTGAGTTCTGACCAGTCCTGAATTATGTCAGTCTCCCCTTTCAACCTCATTCTTTCTTCACCTCCCCGTCACCACCACCACCACTTCAAGCAATGGGTCCTCTTCCTAGACCTAAAGGCCACTCTAGGGGAGCCCAGTCCAGGTGTGTATTGGCAGCCCCTGGCACTGAAACCTTCGAGTTGGGGGGAAAAAAACAGTGGTGCACAACACAGTTTTTACAGCGCCTGTCCCTGAGGTGGAAGCAAAGAAGAAACTGCTACCACAGCCTGTAGTTTCCCGTCCCTAAATAGTCGGTAGCTGTGATGTAGTGGCAAGAGCACAGCCCTTGGGAGCCGTGCAGCACGGGAGATCTACCATCGCATAGCTTTGATACTTTTAGCCCGGTTCCTTAAACATTCTGGGCTTTAGCGTCTTCAACTGTAAAGCGTGGATAACAACGCCAGCTACCCCACAGCTTCTTGTGAAAAGCAAACGAGAGGATGCAACGCAACACGCTGAACAACCCCGCAAGGCATTACGCAGGAGGCGTTAGGGCCCTAACTCCTCCCCACCGTCCCACCCACCACGCACGTTACAAACTAGCAGTCTCCACTAATACAGCCGGCCCCCTCCTAAGGAATCATGGGCCGTGAAGTCCTTTGGTGGCCACACCCTCGTTTACAGTCATAGAAGTGAGAACTACGCCTCCCAAGATGCCGCGAGGAGGCAGCCGCCACGGCCGCCCTCTGCTCCGCCCTCCTCACGCACAGCTTCCTGGGATGTGTAGTCCCAGATCCAAGCCGGCTCGCCGGCCAAAGAGGGCGGAGAAACCACAAACCCCAGAAGCCCTCACGTCCACTCTTCTCCCTCCCCTCCAGGAGTCGGAGTGCTGTTTTTGTTGTTGGTGGAAGGTGAGGGAACAGCTGATCCGTGTGTGGGGTAAGAAACTTGGCCTAATTTGGGGGCGATCTGATGGCGGGGGTCACCGCACTTTCCAGTCTGTGGAAGGATAATCTAAGGGAACTGTAGACGGGAGATGCGGGAGCGTTTGGGTTTTAATACTTTCCGTACTGGAGAAGCCACCCCTACTGTTTTTAAGAGTTCTGGGTCTCAAGGGGGCCTGGATCAGGAGGGTGCCCCCTCACTTTTCTCACCTTCCCCTCAGTCCTTCTCTAAAAGCTTGTTACGCTTAAAGTAGTTGGGAGAAGCTGAAATATTTACTCATTCTCTCCCAGGGAAGACTTGACCCTCACAAACCTTCCCTTTCTCCTTACCCTCCCGATCCAATCCAGAGGCCTTTACTACACTAAATCCCTGAGGGGAAAAAAACCTTCCAAGTGGTAGAATGTTAAGGAACTCTAGAGCCCTACAGAGTTGGGGGATTGGGACTCTTCCCCTCCCCACTCGAACACTTGAGTCTAGCTACACTCATACACTTTAAGTGCCCAGAGCTTTGTTTCAGGTTTGGTGAATGTTTCCAGCTGTTACGGATTTTCTTTGTGGGGCATATTTGGGGTTCCCCAGGCTTAGATCTTTGGAGACAACTCATCCCTACTTAGAAAGCCAGAAGAATTGTATTTGGAGAAAACATGGACTAGTTTTAACTAGGGATTTTTCAGAGATGAAACCCCAAAGAAACCTCTTGTCCTGAATCCAGTCCTTATTTTGGAGGGAGAATTTGCTTCTTTTTGGAGAGCTAGCACACTTTTCCTTCTCTACTGAATTTCTTTTGTTGTTGTTTTTTTTAAAGTTCCTAGCCCCAGACTTTAGCCTGGCGTGGGTTTGTGATGTTTAGGGGTGTGCACATGACTAGTGATGGCTGATTGGATGCCGTCCTCTGCAGTTGACATAGGATGAAGATTAGTGGGCTGGAGCGGAGTGATGACGAGAACCATCTCACAGCCTTAGGCTGAGGAGTTCTGTTGATTATTGTTGTTGCTCCTCACCCCATCCCCATAGTGCCCACCTAACTTGGAACACCTCTTCCTCTCAGTCCCATCTTACAGCATGCCTCCAGCTCCCCATCCAGGCACTTGGAATCAAGGCCAAAGGGGGCAGAGAGAAAATGGAAAGGAAAATACTAGAACTGGGTTACCATAGTCAAACCAGTAGAATTCTAGTTCTGCTTCTGGCAAGATCTGAAGAAAAGAATGTTAGGTTCTGTTTGAATTCTCTCTCCCTTCTCTCAACATCATATATATATTTCCCCTTCTCAGGGCCCCTTACTTCCCACCTTCCAGTCTATCCCCTACCCAGGGGTGGGGCTTTCCTGGCTCCAGGCTCCCACATTCCATCTCCCCACACCACCACGTTCCTGCTGAGTGTTTCACTCCACCCTTGAAGCAGCCGCCTCCAGAATTCTTGACTTCCTGGAGTAATGAAGTGGAGAGACAAAACCTGTCTTTCCCTATACCCTCCCTTTCCCTTTGTCTCTTGAATGAGAGCAGAAGCTTTTTTTAAAACTCATGGGGGTGGACAGCTCTGAGAGAGGAGAGAACTGAGACCTCACGGGCCTGAGGATTGAGCTGTTGGTCCCCCTGCCCTTTCCAGCTCTGAAGGCTCAGTCATTACTTTCAGAGATTAGTTGCTGTTTTCAGGTGTCATAAGTCATCTTGGGTACAGTTGGAGTGGGCAAGGAGACACGCTCAGAAGGAGGGTGCCCCACACCTCAGTTGGATTTTGAATCCAAGAGTCAAAAGATATGGGGGTGGGATGAGGAGGTGGAGGCTCAAGAATTTGGAATGCTCAGGATGTTAAGAGGTGAAAAAAGAGGGACTCAGAGGGCAGACCCTGGGATACTGAGACTTGGTCAATGAGGCTGTGAAAAGGGAGCAGAAATGAGAGAGATGTTAACTCTAGGAAGAGTCTATCACTCAGAACAGGTACAGTGTGAGACAGGATGGGGACTGACTCAGAAGGCCAGACCTGTGTTCTGGAGACTAAAAATTATACCTCCAAAGGGTCCTATAACCCGCAGGGGCTGGAAACGAGATATGCCTTCACCTCCAGGTGTAGTGACAGGAGCTGTGAGTGGGTGGGAATGGAGTTGGAGGGAAGAAGAGATGGATTGGAGAGATTTATAGGATATTAACCCTTTATTTCATAGGAGGGCAGATATCTTGAGGGCAGGATGGAAGAATCATCACTAAGCCGGGCACCTTCCCGAGGTGGAGTCAACTTTCTGAATGTAGCCCGGACCTACATCCCCAACACCAAGGTGGAATGTCACTATACCCTTCCCCCAGGCACCGTGCCCAGTGCCAGCGACTGGATTGGCATCTTCAAGGTATCCCTGAACCCCCTTTTGGCTCGTATTTATGAGCCATGGGTTGGTTGGAATAAGGAGAATGACTTAGTCCTTGGATTCTCAACCTCATGTTGATAGAAAAGAAGGGAAAAGATGTCACAAATAACAGAGGCCATCGGTATAAGCAGAGCTCATCTTCTGCCCATCTTAACCTTGCTCTCTCCTGCCACAAGTATCCCTCCACATTCCCTGTCTCTCATCATCCTTGCCCCTGTAACAGCTTCCTGTCCCCCGTTCAGTCCCTCAGCCCTTTCTGCCATCCATAGCTTATAGTTGCATCACCAGACCCATCCCCGCTCCCACCATGGGCCTTCACAGGTGGAGGCTGCCTGTGTTCGGGATTACCACACGTTTGTATGGTCTTCGGTGCCTGAAAGTGCGGCTGATGGCTCCCCTGTCCACGCCAGCGTCCAGTTCCAAGGTACGAGGGAGGATGGAAGGTCCAAGATGGCAGAGCCGGGGGATAGAGGTTTAGAGGAGGATAGTGGGCTCAGAAACAAAAGGCACAGATGACAAAGAAAAATAAGTGCAAATAAATAAAATAAGAACTATATCCAACAGGGCTCAACAGACATAGAATCATGGGATTATTATAGAATCAGGGACTTAGAGATGGAAGGAACTGTAGAGGGCCACTAATCCTGCCTCCTACCAAAACAAAAAAAAAAAGAGGAAGTCCTCTTAGGGAACGAGGGGTAGGGAAGAGGGAAAGGTGGTGTCATAGAATGAGAAGGTGGTCGTGAGATTCAGAAAGACCTGGATTCAAATCTCAACTCTAATACTTACAAGCTGTTTGACCTTGGACAAATTACTTAATCTCTCTGTGTCTATTATCTTAACAGTAAAAGGGGATGCATGGCTTATAGGTACAATATGAAGGTTTAAAGTGATACACGTAGAGGGTTTGCATCATGCCTGGTACAGGGTGGGCACTCAGTAAGTGGTAACTAGCATTATTATTATTATTATTATTATTATGGAAGGTAGGTTTGGGAAAGAGAGGAAGGACAGGCCTAGGCAGAAGGAGGGACAAGAGTACCCCAAGGAATGGAAATAGCCTGTGGGAGGTGGAAAGAAAACAGTAGATGGAACAGGGAACAAGAGGCCGGAGCCAAGGGCAGTAGGTGATAAGATGCATCCAGGGGAAGGGAGACCTGTCAAGCACTTGAGGGCCTGGGATCATATTCGGGTCCTGGGTCCATTCTTCTTCCCACAGCCAGCTACCTGCCCAAACCTGGAGCCCAGCTCTACCAGTTCCGATATGTGAACCGCCAGGGCCGGGTGTGTGGGCAGAGCCCCCCTTTCCAGTTCCGAGAGCCAAGGCCCATGGATGAACTGGTGACCATGGAGGAGACTGATGGTGGCTCTGACATCCTGCTGGTTGTCCCCAAGGCCACCGTGCTGCAGGTGAGAACAGAGCAACAGAGCTGCTTCTGGGCAGGGGAGTGGGCGGGCAGCATGGCAAGGGACCCCTTGCTTTACCTTCCCCTGGGCTGTGGCCTCAACCGAAGACCTCACTGGGAGTTACACAGTCTTGTCGTTAAGAAGGTCTCATTCTAACGTAGACACAAACATGTAGGGCAGGAAAGCAAGCCGCCCACAGGCCACTGTCACTCAGATTACATGAGTACTTTTCGAGCATTCCTCCCAAGTGCTACATCCTGTCCTAGGCCCTAGAGGAAGATCTAAAGGGTGGAGGGAGGCCACTCCAAGGAAGGAATGTTCAGAGGAAGAGGAGGATGAGACCCACGTCCAGGACAGGTGAGGAATGAGAACAGATAGTAGGGCCCCAGACAGTATCGGAGGCTCTTGGGCACTTGAAATGTGACTGGTCCAAATTGAGATGTAAAATACACAAAGGATTTTGGAGACTTAGTATTTAAAAAAGTAAAAGAGCTTAATAATTTTCTATATATTGATTGCATATTGAAATGACAATATTTTGGATAGACTGGGTTAGACAGAATATCATTAAAATGAATTTCACCTGTTTCTTGTTAATTTTTTTGAAGTATCTACTGGAAAATTTAAAAACTATATACGTGGCTTATATTCTTTTCCCATTGGACCAAATAGACCAAACTGAGAAGAATTAGAGAGTGAGGGTAGATGTTGGCAAGGACTTCCTGAAGGAAGAGAAGGGACAGGGACAGGTGGGGAGGAAGGACTCTCCCTAGATAAGAGGACAGACTTGAGGAAGGCTCAGGAGGTGAGAAGGGGTTGCTTGTCTGTGACTGAAGTAAATTCTTGCTTTCTAGAACCCTCTAAACACATGGAATCAACACAATAGGAAGAAGATGTTTATATCTTGCATAAGTCAGATGTGTGAGCTCCTACCCCATATTCTGTTTTTTTAATTCTAATTCCAGTGCAGTTAACATGCAGTGTTATATTAGTTTCAGGTGTCAATAGTGTACAATACAGTGATTCAGCAGTTCCATATACTGCTCAGTGCTCATTATGATAAGTGTGCTCTTAATCCCCATCACCTATTTCACCCACCCCCACCCACTTCCCCTCTGGTAACCAGCAGTTTATTCTCTGTAGTTAACTACAAAGAGTCTGTTTCTTTCTCTCTCTTTTATTTTTTTCACTAGGCTCGTTTGTTTTGTTTCTTAAATTCCACATATGAGTGACATCATATGGTATTTGTCTTTCTCTGACTGTACACTCCCCAGCTCCATCCATGTCATTGCAAATGGCAAGACCTCAGTCTTTCTTAAGGCCGAGAGTATTGTGTATGTGTGTGTATATACATACACACACACACCACATCTTCATTATCCATTCATCAGTCGATGGACACTTGGGCTGCTTTCATAGTTTAGCTATTGTAAATAATGCTGTTATAAACTTAGGAGTGCATGTATCCCTTTGAATTAGTGTTTTCGTACTTCCTGGGTAAATACCTAGGGGTGCGATTACTGCATCATAGAGTAGTTCTATTTTTAACTTTTGAGAAACCTCCATTTTCCAGAGTGGCTGCACCAGCTTATACTCCCACCAGCAGTGCAAGAGAGTTCGTTTTTGTCCACATCCTCATCAACACTTGTTGTTTCTTGTGTTTTTGATTTTAGCCATTCTGACAGGTGTGAGGTGGTATCTCATCACGGTTTTGATTTGCATTCCCAGATGACGAGTGATGTTGAGCATCTTTTCATGTGTGTTTTGGCCATCTGGATGTCTTCCATGTTCTGTTTTTACATTCATTATTCTTACTACAATTACCTTTCAAGAATCTACACTAAGAGATCACTTTACAAATGAGGACAAAGACTCAGAGAAGTTAAGGAACTCATTCAAAGTGACATAGCTAGTAGAAATTGTAAACCTACATCTGTCTGGTTCCAGAATAGATAAGGTACAATTCAGGGAGCCATCCCTTTTGTCTGCATGGATTGAGAGAGACTTCTTCCAAGGGGGTCGGGAGCTGGTATGTCTGACTGGTGGTGGGCAGGATTCAGTAACACCCCAAGCCTCCCCTTACTCACCTCTTTATAGCTTGTACTGATGCAACTTCCCAGCCCCGAATGCATCTGCAGAGTGGTGGGGACGGGGCTTTCACAAGCACAAACCCCCTTTTTATCCTGCCTCCTGTAGAACCAGCTGGACGAGAGCCAGCAAGAGAGGAATGACCTGATGCAGCTGAAGCTGCAGCTGGAGGGACAGGTGACAGAGCTGAGGAGTCAAGTACAGGATCTCGAGACGGCTCTGGCGACTGCCAGGCAGGAGCACGCGGAGCTGACGGAGCAGTACAAGGTGGGAGTTGGGCCAGGTTGGGGACGGGGCCTGGCTGCTCACCCAGAGTCCAAAATCTAACCCAGTGAAGATGGAAAAGGAGAGACATTAGCGGGCTTTTAAGATGGTTCTGGCATCAAAAAATAGCTTTAGGGAGTAACAAGTGGGATTAAGCTTGAGATGACAGGAGACACATTGCAAACATAAAGTAATAAGACTCAGTTCTTTGCACACAGGAGTGCTGAGGTAGGGTGGAGATGGCCATATTCACCAGCCAGAGAATGTTCCCTTGCAGTTTCTTTCTCAAGGAAGGTGACAGGGTGGTGAGGGGTTGGTAACAGTCAAATTCTGGTATGCTCCTCCTAAGCCCTTGTTCTATTCTTTGAGAGATGAGTCTCAACTTCACTATTCTGGGGTAACCTTAATTCCAGGGGCTTTCCCGGTCCCACGGGGAGCTCATAGAAGAGAGGGACATCCTGAGCCAGCAACAGGGAGACCATGTGGCACGCATCCTGGAGCTGGAAGATGACATCCAGACCATCAGTGAGAAGGTGCTGACAAAGGAGGTGGAGCTGGACAGGTGAGAGGACCTCCTCTGCCCCCGTTACTTCCTTTCATTTCCTGTCACCCCGAACTCCAGCCTCTCGTTTCAGGCAGGTGAACCTGCTGTCTCATGTGGTTATCCCGCTTACTGGGGAAATCTTTTCCTGCCTAGCTCTTCCATCTTTCCTGAGCCTGTTTGTATTCCTCACCTTCAGAAGTCATCATAGTTACTACTTATGGTACAGCAAAGGCTACGCAGGAGCCGGGAGTGGAGGATTTGGAAGAAGAGAATGGATAGAACAGTCAACACAAGAGAGGATGGATTTCATTCTGAAATCCATCTTTCTTCTGAAATCCATCTTTCTATCTATTCTTTACCGCAGCAAAGAAGATTAGAGGGGCACCTGGCTGGCTCAGTCAGTAGAGTGGGTGACTCTTAATCTCAGGGTTGTGAGTTTGAGCCCGTCGTTGGGCATAGAGATTACTTAAAAATCTTTTTAAAAAAAGAAGGGGGGCACCTGGGTGGCTCTGTCAGTTAAGCATCCAACTCTTGGTTTCAGCTCAGGTCATGATCTCAGGGTTGTGAGATCAAACCCCATGTCAGGCTCCACACTCAGCCCGGAATCTGGTTGAGGTTCTCCCTCTGCCCCTCCCCCACCACCACCCTCCACTCCACCGGCCCCTGCTTGGGCAAGCATGCACATACACGAACACTCTTTCTCTCAATAAATAAATAAATAAAAATCTTTAAAAAAAAAAAAAAAGAAAGAAAAAACTATATTAAAAAAATAATAGAAAATAAAAATAAATTTAAAAGAAAAAGAAGACTAGACTCCATTCTCACTGTTAGGAAATGTTCGAACTGGTGTTCCAGAATGTGATGGAATCTCTCCTCTGAAAAAAGGCATAAGTCATAGAATTTTAGCACTGGGAGGAATATAGGGTATTTGAGAGGGTCACTGCTTCAGAAGGCAGCCTTTTTCAATATCAGACAACTGTCAGTTTTGTATCCCTTGGATTGAATGAAACTGTCCTTCCTATAACTCCCTCCTATAACTTTCCTCTCTTGGTCCTGGTTTAGACCTCTGGAGCCGCACAGAATGAATTTCTTTCTTCTACCAGACAACTATTATTTCTACCAAATAGCACAAATGTTGACCACTTCCCATGCCTGTCCTTCAGATTTTCACCAGGAGAAACAAGTTAGTTGTTTCTTTCATCACATCACACAATTGAGTCTCTTTCAGTCAGCACTGGTAGATCTTACATATATTTTTTAAATTTCTTAAAGGAAAAAGGCATATTATCCAAGGCCCAAAGTAAAACATGAGTTACTCCCTAAGGCTTCTTCAGTGCAGAATATGTTGGTCTTGCCCTAGGGAGATACTAAATGTCTAGGTTTTAAATCATAGAATAGAAAAGCAGGGATCAGGAGTGCCTGGGTGGCTCAGTCGGTTACGTGTCTGCCTTTGGCTCAGGTCATGATCCCGGGGTCGTGGGATCAAGCCCCACATCAGGCTTCCTGATCATTGGGGAGCCTGCTTCTCCCTCTTCCTCCGCTGCTCCCCCTGCTTGTGTTCTCTAACTCACTCTCTCTCTCAAATAAATTAATCAAATGGTTTAAAAAAAAAAAAAAGAAAAGAGATGAGACTGATCATCTGGAAAAGATTAGGGACTGTTTAGACCAGGGGTCAGTAAACTATGGCCCATGTGCCAAATGTAGCCTTGCCGCCTGTTTTTGTACAGCCCGTGAGGTAAGAATGGTTTTGACAATTAATTAATGGTTAAAATCAAAAGAAGAGGGACTCCTGGGTGGCTCCGTAAGTTAAGTGTCTGCCTTTGGCTCAGGTCATGATGCCGGGGTCCTGGGATCGAGTCCCGCATTGGGCTTCTTACTCAGCAGAGAACCTGCTTCTCCCTCTGCCTACTACTCCCCCTGCTTGTGCGCATGCTCGCTTTCTCTCTCTCTGACAAATAAATAAAATCTTCTAAAAAAATAAACAAAAGAAGATATGAAAAGGAAGATAAGAAATTCAGATTTCAGTGTTCATAAATAAAGTTTTATTGGGACAGCCATGCTAGTCATGTGCATGTTGTCTGGGGCTGCTTTCACACTACAATGGCAGAGTTGAGTAGTTGCCACAGAATCCTCATGGCCTGCAGAGCCTAAAGTTTTTACTGTCAGGCCCTTTACAGAAAAGTCTGCCAACTTCTGATCTAGATCCAAAGTTTATAATCAATCACGGCTGTCCCTTGTCTAAAAAAAGACTCAGTTCTGGTCTCTTGATGGAACGAAAACAACTAGGAAGCCACCAGCAGAACATTCCTTAAAATGATAGAAAAGAAAAACTTTATTTCTAGATTGTTCTCTAGAATCAGGAATCTTGGGTACTCAGGGCTTACAACAGGATCACCTTGGTCTGGGGATTTGAACATCCCAAAGACAAATGGAGGTCTGGGCATAGAGGAGCACCAGTAGAAGAGCTCAAGACAGAAGTCCGAGCCCCTCATTTCTTCTCTGGTGACCAGTAGGTCATCTGACGTTCCATCTCCCCACGCACAGGGTGAGAGACACAGTGAAGGCCCTGACTCGGGAACAAGAGAAGCTCTTCGGGCAACTGAAAGAAGCGCAAGCAGATAAGGAGCAAAGCGAGGTAAGGGCTCAGAGTCGGTTCGCTTTCTGAATTGTTCATCCAGTGTTTATTAATTAAGTTCTGAGTTCTAGGCACCAAAGGGATATAAACGTAAAGAGAACATTGTATGCACTCTCGTAGGAAGCATAAAATGTATACCCAAATCAGGATTAGTCAAAGTAAGCATCACCAGGGAAGAATAATGAAGTGTTCTGGTGGGGGCGCCTGGGTGGCTCAGTCGGTTAAGCATCTGACTCTTGATCTCAGCTCAGGTCTTGATCTCAGGGTTGTGAGTTCAAGGCCCAGCAAGGAGCCTACTTAAATAAATAAATAAATAAATAAATAAACGTGTTATGATGCTTCATAGAGGTGGGTGAGAGCACATCTTGTTAGGGTCATTAGAAAGGGCCTTTAGGGGCACCTGGGTGGCTCAGTTATTAAACGTCTGCCAGGGTCCTGGGATCGAGCCCCATGTTGGGTTCCCTGCTCATCAGGAAGCCTGCTTCTCCCTCTCCCACACCCCCTGCTTATGTTCCCTCTCTCACTGTGTCTCTCTCTGTCAAATAAATAAGATCTTGAAAAAAAAGAAAGGGCCTTTAAAAAAGCTGGCACCTGGGTGGCTCAGTTAGTTAAGCGTCTGCCTTCAGCTCAGGTCATGATCCTGGAGTCCTGGATCGAGCCCCATGTCGGGCTCCCTGCTTGGTGGGGAGTCTACTTCTTCCTCTGCCCTCGCCCCGCTCATGCTCTCTCTGTCTCTCTCAAATAAATAAAATCTTTAAAAAATAAAAAGGGGGATGGGGCGCCTGGGTGGCTCAGTTGGTTAAGCGACTGCCTTCGGCTCAGGTCATGATCCTGGAGTCCCGGGATCGAGTCCCGCATCGGGCTCCCTGCTCAGCAGGGAGCCTGCTTCTCCCTCTGACCCTCCCCCCTCTCATGTGCGCTCTCTCTCTCTCTCTCTCTCTCATTCTCTCTCTCAAATAAATAAATAAATAAAATCTTTAAAAAAATATATAAAAAAATTAAAAAATAAATAAAAATTAAAAATAGAAAGGGGGTATAGGAGTGCCTGGCTGGCTCAGTCGGCAGAGCGTATGACTCTTGATCTCAGGGTCGTGAGTCCAAGCCCCACTTTGAGCATAGAGCTTACTTTAAAAAAAAAAAAAAAGCAAAAGGGCGGAATAAACTAGCCTCGTATTTTCCAACTTTTTTAGCTTTCCTCCCCACCCCCAGTAAAGTTTTACATCTTGTGTGGAATCTCACTGAATAGATAAAAGCAATATTTTATTACTATAAATTTTTATAAATTCAAATATTCAGTGTTGACTTACAAGGTAACAAAAGTAATCAGGTAATCCTGATGGATGTCACACCTTGAAATCAGAGGTTATAGATAACTGCTCTGTCAGCCTCAGCAGCTGGTATAGTTCTGTATTGTGTTTTGGTTGTATAGTACTGAGAACACTTTGAGTCTCACACACGAGTAGGTGAGAGTGACAGCCATTGTTAAACTATCCACCTGGCCATCTCAGTTTGCTTTTTAGTTCAATAGAAGATCCTGAGGTTTGCACAAAAATGAATTAACCTAGAAGCATATGTCAGTGGATTGAGACTGTTGTGTTAACTTGTGACTGTGTGGGGGTTTTTTTTTCATATTTTTTAAATAATTTAGAAGAAGCTTAAATCACATATTTGCAGAACCTCTAAATGGCTTCCTCCAAACCCTAGGCTTTTGTGGAAGATGATTTGAAAACCATTTGCTTAGCAGTGAGGAGTAGGAAGAATTTAAGTAGACAGAGATGAGAGGGAGGCCCTTCTGGAAACAGAGAAAGACGCGAGCAAAGGCTGAGAGCCCCAGAACACTCAGGGCAATTGAATGTGTGGGTGAAGAGTTTGAGGTAAGGCCTCGGTCAGATTGGAGAGGACCTGGAGTTTAGTCTTTATTCTGTAAGCAGTGAGAGGCGTCAGTAATTTTCAGGGGGGTGAGATGTACTTAAATGTAGATCACACTTAAGAGGTACTTAAAGAAGATTCATGTGATCTCCTTGTGGGAAATGAACTAGTTATGGGATTACTCAATAATCCAAGTAAGAAATGACCAGGGCTTGAGCTAACGTGGTTGCAATGATAGTGGAAAAGAGAAGATGGCTGTGAACAAGATGGAGGATGGAGACGCCAAAGGCTTTTCTGTGGGTTGCTAAGGAAAGAACAGAACCAAGCAGGCATGGCACCAACGGATCCAGCGTGAGTGACTTGGGAAGTAGTTAGTACCATGGGTGGAAATAAGAGTGGAAAGGAGTGGAGTGGGAGGTAGAATATGCTGAGTTTGAGAGCCCTATGGGACATCCAGACTGAGTTTTGATATAAAAGGAAGAGCAGATGGGTGCCTGGGTGGCTCAGTCAGTTGAGAGTCTGCCTTTGGCTCAGGTCGTGGTCCTGGGGTCCTGGGATCGAGCCCCTCATTGGGCTCTCTGCTCAGTGGGGAGTCTGCTTCTCCCTCCCCCCCCATCCACTTGTGCTTGTATGTGTGTGTGCGCGTGCTCTCTCTCTCTCTCTGAAATAAATAAATAAAATCTTTTTTTTTTTTAAAGATTTTATTTATTTATTTGAC